GGTTTTGGGCCTTCTTTTACATTTAATTGTTCACTACAGCAATTTTTAACTTATTTTCGTCAAACAAGACCCTCTAGCGCCTAAACGGTTAGAGATAGAGCCAAACGGACGAAATTTTCGCCCGTAGGGCTCTACTTGGACGAGTTACCCCTTAGGAGCTCATAAAAAAAATATTTTTTTCTGACTTTTTTGACCTTCCTTATTTTCTTTGATACCCCCTTTTAGCCCTTTTGGGGTGGTTGCCAGGATTTGCCGTAGGCGTTTCGTTCTCTAGGAGTGGACCATAAGATACCCTGAAAATTTCAAGTCTCTAGCACATCTCCTTCTAGTGGAACAGACAGACAGACACACAGACAGACAGACAGACACACACGAGGTCGTTTGCATAAGCCCGCTGGATAGCTTTTTCAAAGCAGAAGGGCGGGCTAAAAAACTGCTTCTACGCCGTGCTATCTGAATTGTGCGTCTGCGCCAGTAATAACGAGTTTAAGTAAGTCCCGCAAACTTCACAAATTTCACTCATCGCAAATTTCAAAATTTCGATTTTGCCATTCTGACCGGAAAAACCGTGCCTCTAGCTCATGCTATCTGTTTAAATTGTGCGTTTATAACAGGTTAAGAAACCCACCGCCAAAAACGTAATTTTACAGAAGGGCCCGGGTAAACGACGCCAGCAAAACCCACCGTAAATTTTAACATTTGACTACACCATTCTGACCGTAAAAAACTGTTCTTTCAGGCCTAGCTATCTGTTTAAATTGTGCGTTAATGACAGGTAACCAAACCCACCGCCAGAAACGCAATTTGGCGCAAGGGCCCAAATAAAAACGGACAGCGGAACAAAGTGACGCACAATTTAATCAGAACACGCCGGAAAAGTGTTTTTAAACTGTGGTTTTGAAGAGTCTAGGCTATAAAAACAATGCTCGTCTCTTTCTGGGCGAAAAACGACGTATTTCATTGGTCCCGCAAACTTCACGACAGCAGCACCCATCGCGATTTTCAACAATCCGATTACGCCATTCTGACCGGAAAAACTGAATCTACGCCGTGCTATTTGAATTGTGCGTCTGTGACAGTAACAACGCGTTTAAATAAGTCCCGCCAACTTCACAAATTTTACTCATCGCAAATTTCAAAATTTCGATTTTGCCATTCTGACAGGAAAAACCGTGCCTCTAGCCCATGCTATCTGTTTAAATTGTGCGCCTGGAACAGGTGGCCCAACGCACCGCCGAAAACGCAATTTGGAGGAAGGGCCCAAATAAACAATGCCAGCAGAACCCAGTGACGCAAAATTTAATCAGAACCATGCTAGTTGTTTAAATTGTGCGTTTACGACAGGTTACCCAACCCACCGCCAGAAACGTAATTT